ACTACAGCTACCTACTGCGCCCAGCGCTGAAGACTACAAGCTAACGCTACTACTACTACACTGCAGYGCTCCCTCCAGAGTGCTGCTCCCGAATCGTGAAGACTACAACTGACCGACTGCCTACCTCGGAAGTGCCTGGGAAGTCCTATGTGCTACCTCAGCCTGCCTCCTGACTACTGGAGGCCAGTCAGGCCGAGGAGGCAGCTCTTGCCAATGCCGAAGTGTGCCAGGGGCTGGCGTGCAGCAGCCTGCTTAAGGCTGGCGTTGGAAACAGACTATTAATAGTCTGTTCCCGAAACCCTGGTTCGGTGCCTGAGTTTCAGGGCTGGTCGTTCTGATGAACGACCGAAAATGGCCCTTCGTTTCAGGCTAAAAAGGCTGTTGCCATTTTTAGTCTGAAACGACCAGGGATAGGCCAGGCTTTCGGGCTGAGCCGACAGGGGGCCTGTAAGCCCTGGATTTCAGGCTTTTGGCCTGAAATTCAGGCTTTTGGCCTGAAGTTCAGGCTTTTAGCCTGAAGGGACGCAGGCCTGCAAAATGGCCGTCGGGCCTGCAAAATGGCCCGTGTGTGCACGCGCTGCATGTAACAGTTCCCCAGGTGCTGGTCCACACCACCCTCTTGTGGCATGTCCTCCCCGTAGCGAGAGACTGGAATTGCACTGCGTATAACTGCAATCGGTATTGCAATCACGTTGAAGCCATCTTGCCTGCTGATACCTGTCTGCATTGTGCCATGGGGCACACGGTCACCGCAACTGCGAGGATGGGATGCGGTGCTTCCTCAGGGCCACACCCTTACTGGTCTTACCTGGTACGAGGGGATGGCGACTCACGATAGGCAATATTTTTGAGTGGCCACTGCCTCTCATGCTATTCTCCTGTGATCTGTCGTACCTGTGAGTATTCAGGATCTGATGGGGTCCTCCTTTTCTGTCCTTTTTTTCCCCCCCTCTCCCTCTGTCTTCCTTTTATCTCCCCTTCTATTTTTTTCCTTCTCTTCCGTCTTGTTCCCAGCACGGAACTGCTAAATGCTCACGAATGAGGGTATGCTCACACTAGGACTTTTTCTTCTAAGCTCTGGACGTGATTAGCCGTTAGATTAATCCAGGTCTGGCCGTAATTGCAGTCCGACATGTTTAGGAAAGTGCAAGTGTGAGTATACCCTGAGCATCAAATGAGGCAGGTTTGCTGAAAGACGCAGCTGGCCTTGCATCGAGCGAGTGCACAGACGCAGCAGGCCTTGCCTTGCTCAAAATACGGCAGTGGGACGATTGTGTTTACGCCCAAATGTCGTAATCATTTTAGACATCGTTATCATTTTGAACCGTCACATGGTGCCAATAAGCCTAGCTCAGTTGGTACACACCTGAACTGCTGAAATACAGACCCCAGTTTGAATCCTATGATGGATCTTGACGAGTGCAATTAAATCATTCTGAATCACCTAGGGCCAGTCAGATTCAGTGTTGCATACCCCGACGGCCGGCGGCCCTTGACTGGTCGGCTGCCAACCCGCCGACCGGGTGGCCGGTTGGCACCTCCCGGTCGTTGGGACCCCGCAAAAAAAAAAATAAAAAAAATTCTTTTTTTTGGGTCCAGAACTGGGCTGTTTTTCTGGGCGCCCGGCCACCGAACTTCTGCCCGGGTGCCCGGCTGGGCATGAGCCCCGGGCAGGGTTCTGGGCAGCCCCAGCACAAAATAAATCAAAATAAAATAAAAAATTTCCGGAAAAAAAAATGTTGTGTAGAATTGAAATACAAACGACTTTTGGCTGAGGGTCACAGTATAATCACTCCCAGAATTGGAGATAAAAAAAAAAAAAAACAGAATCACACAAAGGCACCCACCTTTAGACCCCTTTCGCCCCTTTAAAACTAATTTATACCCCCTTGACAGCCAACTCGCAAAAATAGAAATGAGCCCGGATTTGGGGTCCTCAGGGAGAGCGCAGAAAACCTAATTTTTTTTTTTTTTTTTTGGCATGCCGGGTACTCCGGGCGTCAGACCCCCCCGGGCATCACGCCCAGGTGCCCGGCCGGGCAGAGGAGGCCTGGCCGGGACTCCAGATCCCCTAATAACCCCACCAACACCCCCATAGCGGCTGCCAATACCCCCGTACACCCCCCAACACTCCCCAACACCCCCAAACTGCCCCCAACACCCTCATTAACTTTCCCAATCCCCCCTATACCACCCCTATACCACCCCTAAACCCCCCTACCCCCCCCCTTCAAATCCCCCATTCCCCCCCCCCATCCCCAAAAGTTTCTCAGCGGATTTGGGCTGTACTCAGCAAGCGCAGTACAACCCCCAACTCAGATTTGAAAAACAATCAGTGGATGGTTGTTTTTGGACTGGTCGGCCTACTGGTCGGCTGCAATACGGTCGGCAGGTATGCAACCCTGGTTAGATTGATGAAAAAGATCTCCTGAGGTCGTTGGCCTTGTGAAAAAAAAAAAAAAAAAAAAAAGTGTCACATGGGTCCTCGGGCCCACCAGGGACCAAGCAAGGGTAGGCTATGAGATGGGTATATAGGGGCTGGAGGGACTGCCGTCTTCACCCAAAAATAATGCCCGGGCGTTGTATAGCCTGCCGGGCGTTATATTCGTTTTAACGCCTGGGCGTTATATTCAGTGAATTGGTGGCAGCTTCGGTGGGGGCCCAAATTTCCGGGGAAAAAAAAATCAAAAAATTCTGTAAAAAAAATATGTTGTCCAAAATTGCAATGTGACCATCTTTTGGCTGAGGGTCAGTACAGAATTCCTTATAAACTCGGAAATAAAAAATAAAAACAAAAACTCAAAACCGAAATATGCCCCTTGGAAGTCAAAACCCCTTTCAACCCCCTTTAAAACCCATGTATAGCCCCCTCCCCGCCCTTTCAAACTCATACTACCTCTACAAGGCACTCTGCCCATGGAACATTCAAATAAAATGCCCGGGTGTTCTATTCGAATATAACAGCCGGGCGTTATATTCGAAGGGCCGTTCTATTTGAGAAAAAAGAGAGTAAAAGCGAAAATCTGATCTTTTTAGGGTAAGTTGAATATAACGCCCGGGCGTTATTTTCGGGTGAAGACGGTAGTAGAGAGGATGCCAATAAAGTGTAGCTCGAGGTAGGACTTGTACTGAGCCTGTCTCCTGAGTAGTCGGTGGGATAGGTGGGTTAGGGGGGAATGTACTGTACATTAATAGGAGGGAGGTAGGCCCTCTATGCCTGTCCGAGGGGGGATCGGATAGGGATCTGCTAAGTCAATGGTTGGAGGACAAAGCTGCTTAGAGTGCGCCCACAATACATATTACATACGGTTGGAGGTTGGATCTGTGGGGACAGAATCTGATCTCTGGTGGCAAGCTGTATGGTGTGGAAGGGACACGACTTGCGATAGGATTTAGGGCTCTAAGTCCGTAGAGGACTCCATCTAGGAAAGTCCAGAGGGCCAAGTGGGTCATTCCGATCTTCGAGTGACTGAACCCCGGAGAGTATTCCCGTGCCTGATACCCTGCCTCTACAACAATCTGGGCATTTAAAAGTAAAGGAAAAAAAAGGACTGTTTTCAAATATGATGTCTGTACATCTGGGCGAGAAAGCGTTTGCAGTTGTGATTGTTAGAAAGACATGTACACCGACACAGGCGTTTGTTGGTATACGGTCGCGTTAGATATTTTCTGATGTTTTTGGTGGAGTGGATGGATGGTTGGGCAGTCTTTGTCTGTGGTGGATGTGAGCTTTATTTAGCGGGAGGTGGCCACAAGAAGACTCAGACAATTTTTGCTGTGGGTGTGATTCCACCAGGCTGCTGTTCCAGAGCACGTGGAATAGAGCAATCTCTAGGTTCCTACAGCAGTAGTGCTCCTGGTCTGTTTTGCGCAGGTGGGGGGGTTTTGCGCAGGTGGGAGGGTCTACTGCCACCAGGTCTGTTTTGCAGAGTGTTTGTGGACGAGCTTGTGAGGGTCTCCCGCCACCAGGCCTGATCCTTTTATTGCGCGTGGCTTTGGGGGAATCTTGTCAGCGACCCCTGTATGGCCTGCCCTACACTCTCCATCTTTTTACCACTTGTGGTTTCTGGGGGCTTCTGGTGCTCACGGGCCTTGCCCCACTACTCAACATTCGACTGGTATCTGGACTGATGCTGGACCAGATACATTAGGACTGATTGAACATTTTGCATGCACTGGGACCGGATATGGTTCAAATGTTATGTCGTGGAGTGAGGCCCGATATTATTAAGTGGTTTTATAAGAAACACACACTTACGGTGTTTTGCACGAGAATAGTATTCTGCCTTGCAAACTATGGGGCCTCAAACGTCTCTTCCCTGTCGTTCATATCGCTCTTCTCATAGTGTTTGTCTCATCTACAACCAGGTATGCTGCGAATGTCTGGTTTTCGTTCCTTCTGAAAAAACATTTTTGAATCCATGTTTGAATCCTGATTCCACAGGTTTTCCGTTTGCTTGGGCGATGAGGAGGATGTTCGTATATCATTATGGACCAACAAAGGACAGTGGCAATATGTATGCTTCTTCTACAGCGCTTTCAGCAGGCAACAATGGTGTATTTTTTTTCCTCGTAACCTTCGTTGTAATTTTTTGAATCACTTTCGAATCCCGATGCCACAGGTTTCCGTTTGCTCGGGCGATGAGAAGGAAGATCGTATATCATTATGGACCAACAAACAGTGGGAAGACGTACGCTGCTCTACAGCGCTTCCAGCAGGCAAAGGATGGGATCTACTGTGGGCCACTGCGGTTATTGGCTATGGAGGTGAGGGAAAGGGATGTACAATTTTACATCATTTTGCTCTTTTTTTTTTTTTTGGGATCGCTGGACACAGCCGTCTTCACATGAATGGAACGATTGCGTGCTCATTATCTCTGTATGGAGACATTATCACTGTATCGAGACTGAAAGCCGCCCTAAATACAGCTATAATGACTGGGCGTTCTATTGGACTGAAGATGGTAGGTTTGTTTTGAACCCAGCTACAGTGCCAAGCAATCCCTCCTTGACATCAATGGAACAAATCCCCTACATCCCCTACAATACATTAAAGGCCTTGCTCCACTACACAATGCTTTATATGCATTTGGACGGTTTCTGGACCCGATACATTCGAAATGCAGGACTCGTCTGAATGCACCTGGTCCAGAAGTCGTCGAAATGCATGCAGAGTGTTGTCTGGTGGAGTGAGGCCCTAAAGCTGATAATCCGGACGGTCCGTTTCCACCGGATGCAGCGCGCTGAGCATGTCGTGTTCTTAGGGATGTGCTTGGTTCGATAGACTCGGTGCAAGTTCGAGATTGGGTCTTTTGCGGAATACAAAGGTTGATATCTGCATGTGTCTACTGTTTCGAGGACCGACCCTGGGCTCTCTGCGGGTCGTTGGACAGTGACACGCTATCCTTTTTGGATGTTGCTCTCTTTTTCTCTTGCTCCCCCTACCCTCCTCCTACCTGCATTGTTATCCTTTGCCAGCCTGCCTCCCTTTTGCGTTTTTTTTTTTCTTTTTCTTTTTCATTGTCCATCGTGGTCATTGTTTGTTCGTTTGTAGTTATCACCTGTGCGTCCCAAATTCATGCCATGGTGGTTTGCTTTTTGTTCGTTTTGTGTCATAGGGTTTGGAAATGTCTGTTGTTTTATCCCTTTTTTTCCCCCTTCTTGTCTGCTGTGTTTTGTTGTTGCATGTCCTAATTTCCGTGGGCAACTGTGGGATTCCTGAGTGCATATGCGCTGCTGTTGTTTGCCTGCTCGGCGTCTCGTGATGCCATTCTGGGCGTTTCAAAAGAGGGCTCGAAATTGGAAGTGGATCCCACCTCTGCACACATGTGGTAGGGTGTTTTTTTTTTTTTTTTTTTTTCACCACTTTTTTTCGTTCTTTTTTTTTTTTTTTTTCCCACGACACGAGGTCCCTTTTATTCTGGGGGGCATCAGTCCGGTTGCTTATCACCCGCAAGCATGAAGGTACAAGTGATAGAGAGAGAACAAGAGACGGCCTTGCCCTTGTTGAACTAGAGGCCTATGCAAGGGGAGGAGGACTGCTATGAATCGACCCAGCCCCCAAGCCCTGTCCTTCCCTTAACGGGTGCTTCTGCTGGCCGGGAAGCTGACTGGCAGCACCCAGTCACGCAGCAGGAGGATCCCAAGGGAGGCAGGGTGCGGGGAGGCGCGTTCGTAGCAGTCTCTAAGGCCGCATGTATCGTCCCATTCCTCAATCTCCCCAAAGCCTTGTTGCTCAAGCCATCCTTCTACATTGTCTATGCCTACCCTACAATATCCCAGTCCTTGCCTGTACAACTCCGTTGTTCCACCCACCCTGTCGCGCTCCATTTTACTCCTTCCCTAACCTTTGCTTCAACACCTATCCTACCTCTCTGTGTACCCCTGTCCCGCTTGACTCCCCTCTGTGCTCAGATCCAGCTTTTCAAAAGTTCACTGCAGCTTTTCCGGATTTTCCCAGTTTTTGTGTTTCTAAACTTTCTCTCTCTTTTTCAACAGCATTTGCCCTCCCTGCCCCCCCCCCCCAACAATATCATCTATCCTCCATCCCCTTCTCTGTGCATTCCCTGTTATGGTACATCTTTCGCCCCTGTTACTACCTATGTAACCTCCCTTTGTACCTATTTTACAAGCTATTTTGCAGCCATTCTGCACATGCTGCACCTGACAATGGAACTTGAACTAGAGTAGTCGTCTCTCTGCTTCTTGTGTCATGCCTGTTCGGGCTCCCTTTCCGGCCGAGGCGTGTGGCCAAACAGAACGGGGCCAAACTGCATTTGACCCGTGTGGGGCTCCCGGGTCAGCAGTTGCGGATACTGGCCCCATCTTTCCCAGAACCCCTTCTCCTTGCCTTCTCCTGCATATCTACAGCGGTGGAAGTCTGCCAGCAGGGCTATCCTCAAGTTGTCCATCACTCTTTCCTGGTATGCCTGCAGTGGCGGTGTTGCTCGTTGTCTACATCGGTTATTTTGCAATGTCCACAGGGCCCACAACACCGCCGCTTGAAAAATCTCTCCCGACAGCAGGTCCACGAAGCTTGGCCTATTGACCTTCATTAGCGTTCCCAGGAGGATGGCTGCGTCGTCCATTCTGGTGACATCTAATGGTGTCTTGTCTGCGACTTCTTGCGCCCACCGTGTCCAAAACGCCCGAACTTCTGGGCATCGCACAAACATGCGGGGGATTGTCTCCACCTGGCCGCACCCTGCTGCGCATAGCCGGTCCTTAGCGGCTAGCCACCATGCTGTTGGGATCGCCACGAGGTATATTTGGCACAACAGCCCTGGCTGTTTCTGGTCTGGCAGAGCTGTCAAAATGGCACACTGGTCATTCCATCTCCGCTGCGGCCATCGATTGAAGAAAATGTCCGGGAGCCAATCCATCTTGGCCCACTTGTTCTTCAGTTCCCGACAAATGTCGATTGGCTCCAGCAGCAAATTATAAATATTTTTCGTGGTCAATTCTTGCAGCGGCGTGGCCTTGTTGTGCATCCTCTGGGGTGGCCATTCCCACTCCCTCGGGTCCCATGTCAGATCCCGCAGCCTGGATGCCAGCTGGAATGGCCGGTAGTGTCCTTCTCCCTTTTTCTCCCCTTCGCAGACTGCGACTGTTCCCATCATGCTTCTTTCCAAAATCCTCACTCCTCCCTTTCCCTGCGTCCTTACCTCCTGTAGCGGTTCCCCTAGCCCCTCATGCCCCTGTCCCGGCCTCACTTTCCATTCGGCAACTTCTAGCCTGTCGTCCTGCAGGGCCTGTTTCACCCTGTACACCTTGTCTGGCCTCGCATTTCCTCTGATCCTCAACCATTCTCCTGGCATTATTTCTTCTCTCTTCAACAGTTTGACCCATTAAGAGGGGATAGCCTCCCTCATCTCTCCCACCCTTCATCTCTTCCTCGTTTGCCCTCGCAGGGGTGCCTCCATTTCGCGATCCGTTCACCAGTCTTTCCCATCTTCATCCCAAAGGTGGCGCACCTTATAAACTCCTTGCTCTGCCAATTTCCACCCGTAGGCCCGTCAGGACCCCTGCCATGGGAACGGTTCCTCGATTGCATCGCAGACAAACCTGTTGTCGAACAGCAATTGGTTGAAGACCTCGTCCGCAGTTTTCGGCAGTTGGCATCTCAGCTTTATTTTTTCTCACAGTGACAAGTTTGTGGTCCATACCGACTCTCTGCGGACATGGCCTATCGCCGAGACGCTAAGTAAACATAAGTCGTCTAGTTCTCTCGGTATCGGGAATGCATAGGCCAGGTGAGTCTGAGTAACTTCATGCCAGGACTCTCCTTCGGTATGCAGCAGGACCATAATCAGCTGTCGCATTTGCAGTGCAACGATTTGCAGGCGCGGGTCCAACTGTCCCAAGCCTCCAGAACGTCTCGGCCAGATCAGTTTGGTCCATGCTTCCCTGCAAATAGAGTCTTCTGCTTTGGCATTGTTGGACCACAATCGCGTGTGGATTGGTTTCTTGATATACCTGAACGTACGTCTGCCTGGCATATGCACGACCCCCATGTACCAAAGTGTGGCCAGAACTGAGTTCGTAATGACTAGGGACTTGCCAAACACGCCCGTGCTCCCTCTTGCGCACCACACTTTGAACCGGGCCACTGCTGCTCTGGCACACATCGACAACTGCTCGACTAATCGGTAGCCTGGTATCAGATTTGCCCCCAAGAAGGCCATCCTCTCTCCTCCTGTTACCGTCGGGATGTCCCATTCCTCTGGGGGTTCCACCCCCGGTGGGAGGATGGCCTTTGATTTTAGCCAATGAACGCGCTCTCCCAAGTACCTGCAGAAGGTTGCAAGGTCTTCCTTCAGGATTTGTAGCTGCTGGTGGTCGGGGGGATCATTGCTCCCGTGTCATCCGAGAAGACCGTGGATCGCAACTCGTCTGTTGGCCCTGCCTTCAAGCCTATCACCTGGTCGTCCCCCCTCAACACTTCATGCCGAGATTCAATGTAAGAGGGCCGGAGACAGCGGGCACCCCTGCTGAACCGACCGGGTGAGTTGAGTTTATTTGACCTTACCCCGTTGACTTGCATCACCGTCATGGCTCCCTTCAGCAAGCTCCTAGTCCAACCGCAGAAGATTCCACCCATTCCTCACCGTGCCATTCCTTGTGGCAGAAACTCCCACCGTACCCTGTCGTGGGCTTTTTCTAGGTCTATAGAGACTAATGCCATGGCTTGGCCTGTGCACTGATCTTCTTCCAAGATCTGCTGTGCGAGCAGCACATTCGACAGGATCTGACGACTTGCCACGAAGCCCGTTTGAGTGCAATCAATAATGCAGGCGGGTTGCCAGCACCTTGGCCAGTATGTTGTACATCACGTTCAAAATAGATATTGGCCTCCAGTTGCGCACGTCTTCCCTTGCCCCCTTCTTGTAAGCAGGACCAGAAGTTGCGAAAATCTTTATACAATTCCACCAGCATTCCGTACAGCCTGGCCACCTTGAGTCTGGGGAGCTCTGCTATTGCTCTCTCTACCTTCTTCGGCCTAATATCTTCCTCCAATTTACATGTACTTGCCAGGTCCAACTGTCTCGGAACGTGTTTCCAGATTCGTTGTTCCAGCTCCTTAGTCATGTCTGCCGGCATCCACTGTTCTTCCTCTGTCAGCAGTTGGCTGTTGTAGAAGTCCTTAACGTACTTCAAAGTACCCCGTGTGGTGCGCTTCCTCTCTTTCTGGCTGTCGAACGGGTGGTCCATGTCCATCTCTGTCTCTCTGTCTCTCTCTGTCTCTCTCTGTCGCTCTCTGTCTCTCTCTGTCTCTCTCTGTGTGTTGCTGGCTGTGTGTCTGTCTCCCTCTCTATTCTCACACTTATGCTTTGCGCTCTCGTCCTATTTGTGTGAGAAGCTGCAACTGACTGGCTGGTTCTTACCTGCATTGATTGTTCTTTTGCTTCTGATCATTGTGCAGATCTATGACAAAGCCAATGCTCATGGGGTGTACTGCAATCTTACTACAGGACAAGAAAAGAAGGAGATGCCATTTGCCAAACATGTGGCGTGCACTGTGGAGATGGCAAGCTTTCACCGTCCTTTTGAAGTCGGTGTGATCGATGAGATACAGGTGGGTTGCTGATTTCCGTTTCTTGTTTTTTGTCTTTCTTTTTTGTTTTTAGGCAGGCTACTTGTCCGTGTGAGGATCCTACAGAGACATATGTTGGTTTCCTGCGGATTATGCCCATTACATTTCAGTAAGGTGGGGGTTGGGCACGCCTTGGCCAGATGGTCAGAGGGGGGGGGGGGGGGGGGGGGGGGGGGCGGCGCTCCGTGGGAAAACTGGCTGGATCAGAAATGGGACAAGAATTAACCATACTTGCGGCGCATGCCGTGCGCGGCGTTGCGGCCGGTGCGGCGCAGAGTGCACAGCGCAGCTGGCGCGCGCACGGCATGCGCCACATAGGGAAAATGAGGGGTTGCGGAATTTTGTTTTTTTCTGTGTGGGGGGGGGGGATTAGGCCCAGGGGGCTACCGGGGGAAAATGGCCGTTTGGGCGCGCAAATTTTTTTTGGGGCCGCGCGCGGGCCCGGAAAAAAATTTGGGAGGAGATCTGAGTAGTTCGTTTTCGAACTACTCAGACCTCCCCAACGTGGTTCAGGCCGAAACCCATGCCTCAGTTGGGCACCCCGGTAGTCGGCCTGCCCGCCCGTTGTTGTTGCTCTCCTTCGGCGGCGGCCTGTTCTTCGTTGTCGTCATCGTACCAGCCCTTCAGCAGCAGCTTCCGCCATAGCTCGAGGATGAAACAGGAGGCAGCAGCAGGCACCAGGAGGCAGCAGGAGGCAGCAGGAGGCAGCTCGAGCAGGCAGTGGGAGCGACGAAGCGTCCGTTCAGGAGGGTTGCCACCAGCTCTCTCTCTCTCTCTCTCTCTCCCTCCTCCCTCCTCCCTCCTTCCTCCCTCCTTCCTCCCTCCTCCTTCCTCCCTTTCTCTCTCTCTCTCTCTCTTTCTCCGTCCTCCCTCCTCCCTCCTCCTTCCTCCCTC